ACGGCCGTCTGGACCACGGCCTTCTGAGCCACGGCCGTCTGGGTCACGGCCTCCTGAACCAGAGCCGTCTGGACCACGGCCTCCTGGACCAGAGCCACGGCGTTCTTCTTTCGAGCCGCGGCGTTCTCCTCAGAAGCCACGGGTCTCGCTCTGGGTCGCCCGCCGACCGGTGTGGGGCAGTAGAATCCGCATTGGGACCGAAGTGTCCTGTAGGCGTGTAAGGAGACCCCGGCCATGGCTTTGACCACAAGCGTAAACAGTCGTGGGTCTGGCAAGTTGGCGAGGGGAATGTGTTGTGGAAGCAGCGTTCTGCAGAGGTTAGCGAATTTTGCAGAGCGTGCCGGGCCCCAGAGTTTGTAAAGATAGCCAGCCAGTTCGGCGTACTGCTCGTCGGGGCCTATCCAGTAGCCGCTACTTGCCAAGGTCTCGTAGTCGTATTCGCCTCCATGCGATTTGAGCAGCCATCCGACAGCGTGGCAGAAGGTCCAGATGAGCTGCTCGTCGGACTCGTTCACGGCGGGGAGTCCCGTGAAGCAGCGCCCCACGGCCACGTCGTCCAGAACCAGGGCGGATTTGAACCCCCGATCGGATGGAAGATTGATGCACTTCAAAAGCCTGGCTACGCGCATATGCGGCATCCATTGCTGCAGCAACTTAGCCAAGTACCACTGGTCACTGATGAGCGGCGGCCGCCGGAAGTGCGGCTCACACTCTTTAAGCAATGTCAGCACCCGACCTCGGTCGAGCCTCCGATATAACTCGCCTGCAAGACGCGCCCAACGCCATGTACAATAACGCTCGCTGCCAGCCGGTTTCTGGTGCACCTGACTCAAAATTGTGAACTCCAAGACGTTCATGGCTTGCCGGAACAGTTTAGGCGATCCCCGCACTTCATCTGTCCGACTGTGGAAACAGTCCCTAATGACATCCGCAACCATTACTTGAGCTTCGTCCACCGCCGGCGGTACCTGAGTCGAAACATCCATCGCCAACATCGACCCATTCGCTGTCAGAACACACCCCGACCCTTCGCCCGAAGCACCACCCACTTCTTCTACGGTGCCCGAAGCGTGAACGGTGCCCGAAGCGTGACACCCCGCCTCCGTCCCGTTCCGCAGCCCACTCAACACAACCAAGTGGACCCACAACCTCCCAGCATCGCTCTTGTTCGCTTTCATCCCTGCTGGGTCAACCTTACACAGCGAAATTTTTATGGAGCCGGGTCGAGGGGCGTCAGAACAGGAACCGTGGGATCGGGTCCGACCGCGGGCCGCATGCAGGGCCTGATTTTGGAAGTGCAGAAAATTTGAAACTGACCGCCAGCTAGCGTAAAACTGGTGCCAAGGGGCGCGAGACAGGTGTCCGAGCGACAGCCCATCAGGGACAGTTCACCGTGATCCGGATGGCTCTGTCTGCGAGCAAGCTAGTAGAAGGGTCTGCGGTAGGGCAAGTAATTCGTCTCAGGCGTGTGAGTTCTTCGTCCGTTTGCCGCCTATTAGCTCGTCCATAGTAAATCCGCTCCGTTTGGACGGGTGGGGACACCCGTGTCTGCCCACCCGTTCAGAAACCCAGTCGCGGAGGGCGACGGAGTACTGCGCGGCTGAGAGAGACGCCGCTTCGTGCGAAATGTCCGACAAGGTCGGAGAGAGCGCTGCCGACCGACTCGCTGCCGACGGGGCCGCTGCCGACGAAGTCGCAGGCGAAGCGCCGACCGCAGGAAGGACTACTGCCGTAGGACGTAAGTGGGTTGTCATCGCGGCGGGTGTCATAGCGGTGGGTGTCATCGCGGCGGGTGTCATCGCGGCGGGTGTCATCGCGGCGGGTGTCGTAGCGGTGGGTGTCATCGCGGCGGGTGTCATCGCGGCGAGTGTCGTAGCGGCGGGTGTTGTAGTGGTGGGTGTCGTACCCAGTGGTCTCCCGTATAGTCCGGATGCTAGATTCACTCGGCCGTAAAAATCTTTTCCTTCATTCTCGACAGAGAAAACTTCATTTGGCTCTGTGTAAGATAGCGCCAGACGGGAACAAAATAGACGATACTCTCGCAACTTTGCAGAGGCAACGAGCCGTAGGAAAGCGGCGAAGAAGCACATGTCTGACACGGAAGTGGGACTTTGTCTAGGAATAAGCCTTCTCGCAAATTGACACATTGTCTGGAACCGCTCGTGTCCCCAGAGCTTGCAAAGGAATACGGTCAGGTCTACGGACATTTGGTCGACGTGGAGCCATGCTTGGTTCGCAACAATCCTGTTCTTCATACGGAGTAACCATTTCATGACAAACGAAATTGACCAGATAATATTCAGTTGTCGTTCGCCTGTGGAAGGCAGCCGAATGAAGAGGGGACCCACGCAGTGGTCGTGCAGTATCCGATTTCGTGAAATCGGAAGGCTCTCGACATCAAGTCCCAAATATCTGGCCCATGTATCGTAAGAGCACCCGTGACCGAACTTTGTAGAAGCTTTGCCAAGTACCACGCATCTGTTATTCCTTTTTGGCGACCGATGGCTGTCTCGCACCGATACAGCAATGCCAACAATCGACGCCGATCAGACTTTTCATGTAACTCTCCTGCTAGTACGGCCCACCGCCATGTACAGAAATCAGCAAAACCTGGTGGGAATCGCTTTATGCGCCCAACGGCTAGCGTCGAGCTCTCAAGGACAACCAGGATGTGTTCCAAACCATGGTAATCTACTTGCTCTTGGTTGGGGCATTTTGGCTTGAAGAAACTTCGGATTACGTCAGCAACAAACTTCTGTGCTGCTTCTACATAGTTATCCCGATTATCAGTTATGTTCGGAACATTGGTTAAGTTCGGAACATTGGTTAAGTTCGGAACATTGGTTAAGTTCGGAACATTGGTTAAGTTCGGAATTTTGGTTAAGTTCAGAACTTTCGCGCCGCGCGCGCGTGTGCGGCACTTTTGACCAAGGCCTGTTTTGGTGCCAGAACCCGTTTGACTAACGGCTATTCGCCTATCCTGTGAAGATGGATCGTCGGCACCATGTAACGCACCCGCTTGGGCGCCATAGACATTCGACCCCCCAGCAGTTATCGACACAGCAACACGCAACGAGGTGACCCACACCTGCCTTTGTCGCTGGCTCTTGTTCCCCTTCATGCCAGCCAAAAAATAATGTTTGCCGCCATTCAGAGTTGAGTTTGCACGCGGAAGCTTTGGCTCGTGCTTCTCACTAGCGGTAGTTGATGCTGGTGGTTGTTGACCAAAAAATTCTAGCGGCTTTTTACACATGCTGGCTGGTTTTGAATACCGGTCCATTCAGCCATTACGTCAACCGAGCCATTACAGCCGCCGTGGCATCAAGCTCAGCAATTACGCACATCTGCAATGCAAGGAATAATGTAAGTAGGTTGATTTGTGGTAGGGGCATACAACTTAATTTCACTGGTTGCTATGTCGGGGCTTATAGCACTGCCGGTGGGCAAACCCCAGGGCTTCACTGCGTCTGGCGGAGTGGACGTACCGACTTTAGGTACCGTGGGCTGTAGTTCTACAGCTGCTGCTAGTTCTACAGTTGCTGCTAGTTCTACAGTTGCTAGTTCTGCAGTCTCGGTTTCAAGTATCATATATTGCGACAGCATGGTGAGATCATCCTGAATGGCTTTAGTCTCTCGACTTAATGTGCTGACCCTCAAACGTAGGATCTGCGATAGAGCGTTAACATACCTGTTCGTTGGAAAGTTGTCCCCGGAGATGTTGTCTCCTGGAAGGTTTTCCACCAGCTCGGTCATGAACTCAGTAGCTTCCTCGACTACTTCCAGACCGCCTTTTGTGGCTTCGATTTCAGCCAAGGTCTGCTCTAGCCGTGTGCGCTCTAAGACTACAGTTTTAGGACACTCCTCTCTTTGACATTCAGGTCTTTGACACTCAGGACCGTGTAAGCATCCCTGCGGATCGAGCGCTAATCGGTTCTTACCCCCTTGGAGCAGTCTTCGTCGGCGTTCCTCCGCCTCGAGTGAGAAGCGGCCGGCGCGATCCACGCTTTGGTCGCGTTGTTGGCGCAAGCACTCAAGAGTTGCGTCGATTTCAGCTTTCTTAAGGCGCAACTCTTCCTCCTTTTGAGCGAGTCTTTCCCTCTCCATTCGCTCAAGATGGAGTGTACGCATACTCTCCGCACTCGCTTCCTTCTCAGCTTCATGGATCTCGCGCACTTCACAGCGTTCCATTTCCAGACGTTCTTTGCGTTCTTGACTTTGTTCACGCAAACGTCTGCGCCGTTCCTGGCTTTCTTCGCGTGCCCGGCGGCGTTTCTCGTTCAAGACTTCAAGTTCTTCGCGCGAACGTCGCTGGAACTCATGCAGTTCCTGCTCGATGCGTTGCTCCAACTTCTCTTTTTCTTCGCGCAATCGCTCGCGCACACACTCGTCTTCGCTACGGATGCGTCGTTCAATCTCAACCAGCTGTTCTTCGAGCACACGGATATTTTCCTCCACATCCTTTTTGGACTGGTGGAACCGTTCCTGACTCTCAGAACGCCGGTGTCGCTGGACGGCGACCAACTCGCATTTTTCGACGCGCACGCGTTCTTCAGCCTTCTTCTCCAAATATTCAAACCGCAGCTGTAACTCTTCTTTCTCGCGACGAAGACGCTCCTCCAGCTCCTCCTTTTCTCTCCGTAGCCGTGCACGCCGAGCAAGACTCTCTTCCCGGAAACGTCGCTCCAATTCTTTCACCTCACTCTTCTCCTGCTTCTTGATCGACTTGAGCAGGTCCCGCTCGCGACGCTCTTCCTCACGCTGTCGCTCACGTTCCTGCATCAACCGCTCCTCCACAGCTAAGAGCTCACCCTCTAGTTTGCAGCGCCGTTCCTGACTGGCCTCACGGTCGCGACGGTGTCGATCTTTGAGTTCGGCTTTGTCCGTGCGCAGCTTTTCGCGAATGCTTTCCTCCTCCGACTTGAGCTGTAGAATCCGCTGAGCAATGTCTGCCCGCAGCGCCCGTCGACGCTGGTCGTCTTCTTCCTTCACCCGCATCATACGCTCGTAACTCTGCTCCCTCTCCAGTCGTCGGCGCTCCCTCAGGGCTTCTTTCTCCCGACGCCGACGTTCCTTTATTTGCTCCAAACGTTGCGGATCAGCCGTTCCACAACTCGGCGCCTGCCCGCCACCGGCGCCACCGGACACGCCGTTGGCGCCACCGGACATGCCTCCGCCTCCACCGACGCGCGACAATTGCCTCGACCGTGCATACCTGTTTCAACCAACAACGTGTTCAAAGACGCACGGTTACCAAAAGCTATATCAGTACTCAAGTTGTCGCCGACCATGCACACTCGACCAGCGTCCAAACCGCCTTTCCTGGGACAAACCGACATTTTCAGGGACATACCTACCACTTCGGGGAAAACCGAACCAGGGGCCCACCCGAGCCAAGCAAGAGATACGTGGGGAATTATACGAATCGTGAAGCGCACTGTTGGGGCGATAACTGGTCGGGACTGAGCCAATTCGGCCGCGGGGTAACTCTTATCAGAAATAGCGTCGAATAGGGGATCCCATCTTACCTCAATAGAATATCAGCCATCAGGGTCTGGGGCTTCCCGCAATACACCGGTTCGCGCCCGGAAGACGCGATCAATGACTGGATGAGGGATCCTAAAACGCGAGGGTAAAGTTAGTGATACCGGATATGGGGGGGGG